TTGATCATCTTTTATGTCTCAGGCACTGTTTCACAGTGGGAAGTTCTGAGTTTATTGCATGAGATGTTTAGCAAACTCCTTTAGAAATTTTTCTAATGTGGTTATCATCCAATACATGAATATACAGTCTGCCCATCAGAGGGACTCTTTTTGTTATGTTTATAGGCCACATGAACACTGCCCAAAGTTTTTGTATGCAAGCAAAAAAAAAAAAAAAAAAAGTAGCAAACACTCTGCACCAGTTCGAAGTACTTTACATATATTAACCTCTGAGCTGGGTCACTATAATTACCTCCATTTTACATATGAGAAAACTGAGTGAGACCCAGCAAGCCTAAGTGACTTCTCCAAAGTGAAACAGTGGTGGAACTGGCCTTGAACCAAGGCTGTTTGGCTACAAATTGCCTTTCTCTGACTCCAGTGGGGCTGAGGCCTCCTCAAGGTTTGCTTCTGACAATGGAATTTAGAAGCAAGTCGAGGCGCATTTTTTTTTTTTGGAGGGGGTGGGAGGGAGAATTGTGTTCCAAAGAGAGCTGGCAATATATACTGCTGATTGGCTGGCTGATAAGGATGGAATGGGGTTTGGAGAATTTCATACTCTTATGAAATAAATATGTGATCTGACCTTCCAGAAGCGACAGAAACTATTCAAACTTTCCCACTTTTTATCTTTTCTCGCTTTCAGACTTCATTTTAGACTGTGCCGTCCTGGCACAATCTTCTTCTAAACTGGCTATGGCTTTACAAGGGCTGAATAAATGCTGACACGTCCAACTTGGGAAACAGGCATACATCTGCCTTTGGGAATATCCAAATGACAGTTTTGTTGCTCATAAAGGCTTAAGCATAAAACTCCTCACCTTTTTTTGCGAATGCAGGAACAGTGGTCTAGAAAGGCTTACATAAGATTTGCCGAAAGCTACAGAATCAGTTTATGAGCCTAAGCAAACCAAACTCCTCTGTCCTGGGTCCCATGCCCATTACACATGCTACAAAGAGTGGTACCAGAACACATTACCAGTGATGCAGAATCTCAGAACCCACTCAGACCTGCTGAATCACAACCTGCATTTTATCAAGACCCCCGGGTAATTCACATGAATACTAAAGTCAGAGAAGCACTGGAATGGTCACTAGTTCTATTTTCTAGATATTTTAGTTGTGGGGAAGGGAGTTGTTGTTGACTCTATATTGGCTATGAATACATCAATCTCTTGAAAGATATATTTTCTGCCTCACGTCACAATTCAACTTAAATTTATCTTCCTGGTATAAAACAATCTTCAGTTTACTTCTATAGTAGATCTAGACCTTTTAAGACCCAGTCATTTCAGCTGGGCGTGGTGGCTCACACCTGTAATCCCAGAATTTTGGGAGGTGAAAAAGAGAGGATTGCCTGAGCCCAGGGATTCCAGATCAGCCTGGGCAACTTAGCGAGACCTCATCGCCACAATAAATAAAAAATTAGTCTGGTGTGGTGGTGTATGGCTGTGGTTCCAACTACTTGGAAGGCTGAAGCAAAAGGATTGCCTGAGCCCAACAGGTCAAGGCTGTGAGCGTGCCACTGCACTCCAGCCTGGGTAACAAAGTAAGACTCCAACTCAAAACAAAAACAAAAAGACCCAGTCATTCCTTGGTTAGTAGATATTAAGGCTCCAGATGTACAAAACAAGATTTCTTATGAGACCCACAAAGAAATAGCCGATTGTCTCCCATCTTTACAAGAATTCACACTGGTGTCCTTTCTTCAGAGCAGGTTAATTACCTTTCCCAAATTGCAGCAAATCCCCTTAGCATAGACGGCAGATGTAAATCTCAGCCTACCTCCTGCTCAAATTTCCACAAAGTAATCAAAGTAATAACAGCTACCACTTGTGCTTACAATGTTTCCAGTGCTATTCTGAGAGATTAATGTATAAAAAGTCACTTAACCCTCACAGAAATCTTATTTTATAAAGGAGGAGACTGAGGCACAGATTGGTTAAGTGGCTTGTCCAAGGCCACACAGCTAGTTCATCATAGGAATTCTAACTCAGGCACCGTGTCTCCAAAATCCATGCTGGTAACCAGTCCACCTAGTTGCCTCTTGAAATCCAAATTAATGCTGACGCCCAAAGTTCCAAGAAGCCTTATTATTAAAATGTTCTCATAATAAATTTACTTAGGAGTATATAATTTACTTCAGAGATTTTACTCAAAAAGAAGTAACTGAGGCTGGCAGTTATTAAGACATTATTTTACAAAGTGAAAACGTTACCTCTGGTCTCTAATCTTTGGTTGCAATTGCAAGACCACATGGTCTGCTATTCAAAAGTGCTTTAAAATGTCGTTTTGCTTTTAACAGGAACTAGCTTCAACCTTAAAATTGCTGTATGTTTTTATAAATGAGAAGTAATTGTAAACTCTAAGGATTTGTGATATTGCTGGCCTTGTTAATCTATTACATCACTGGGTCTGATTTCTCTTTTTAGCTGCTGACAGCTCAATGCTTTTTCTAAATAAAATCTTATGGACAACTCCAATATATCCAATCAGAAAAAAACTTGTGCTTTGGTTGAAGTGAAGGGGGTGCCCCCTGCCCTCCACTATCCACCATTGTCCCCTAAAGGCATGTCCCTAGAACCCCAGAGTCCTGGAGACATGGAATGAAAAACACCATGTGAGACGGCATGAGTAGCTTCACATCTGTACTAATTCAGCTGCCCTTAGACCGCTCTGCCGGATTCTACATCTATATCCTTTGGCCTTACACCAGAAAGACCTCACAGATCTTAGCTCTCCTCTGCAGAGCTAAAGGGAAGAAAACTTCACAAACAACTGAAAAGGGCACTCACTGCCAATGCTGTTTCAGAAACGGAACACAGAGGCACAATGAACCGTCATTTTCAACTGCAAAGTCAACAATAGGCCTGCCAGGGGGTGTGAACAGCAGGCAGGTATGCTTAATAGGGAGTGAACTTGGATTTTTTTCTCCTTCAATTACTTCTGTTTGCACTAGAAACACAAAGTCAAATAATCCACACGCCTACGCAGGGTACAGGTGAAGAACTCTGGTTACAATGCAGGAAATACAAATACCAGTAAGTCTCAACCTATAATCAACCAATCTGTTAACCATGTCATGCATCTCACTGAGTGGTGAGTTAGTAGCCACTGCCAAGCCATTCTCCCTACAGGTGCACATTTAAAAAGTAAGATTTGCATAAATTTGTAGTTAAAGTAGTTTTAAGAGCTGGTTGCCACCTGCGAAGTAGCTCCCATTATTGATGTTCTCAATGCCAAGTGCCAAGGGTGGTACTGGTGTCTAGGCCCCTCCCAGATTCCCTCAGATCCCCTAACCATTTCTGTGCCCCCTCCTCCCCAAAGCTAATGGCCATAACCAGTGACTGTTGGGTAAGGGAGCATGAAAGCCCAGTTCCCTTGCCTGGAGTGTGTTGGGACAACTCTGAAGCATTCTGATCCTTCAAAATCCTTTGTAGGATCAAGCTGAAGCCACCTTCTTTGGGACTTGGCCAGAGATGGCATCCTTGCTTGGTTTCCTCCACTACCTTGTCCTGGTTCCTTTTACTGCTCTTCTAGGAGCACTTCCTTTAAAATCTCTTGCACAGGAATCTTCATCTCAGAGTTTGCTTCTGGGAAACCTCACCCAAGAGAGCATGCTAGCCAGCTCATCATTACTCAGATTGCTTGGTATGAGGAATTCTAGCCTCCCCAGGAGCAGTTCCGGTGTGCAATTAACACAGTACTTGCCACATCCATTTCCTCCCACAAATATGTCCATAATCTTCAGCCTACGCTGATCTTATTAGATCAAAAAGTGGGATGTTAAATTTAAATTGTATAAAGTTTCAGTCAAGAAGAAAGTATAGAGCATGTCATATGTGGGTTAAATAAATGGTCAAGTTAACGTTTATAAATAAACTTTCTGGTCAGGCGCAGTGGCTCAGCCCGTAATTCCAGCACTTTGGGAGGCCGAAGCGAGATGATTGCCTGAGCCCAGGGGTTCGAGACCAGCCTAGACAGCTTGGTGAGACCACATCTGTACAATAAATCACAAAAATTAGCTGGGTCTGGTGGCATGCATCTGTAGTTCAGCTACTTGGAAGGCTGAGGCGGAAGGATCGCCTGAACCCAACAGGTAGAGGCTGCGGTGGCCGTGAGTGTATCACTACACTCCAGCCTGGGTGACAGTGAGACTCCAACTCAAAAATAAATAAATAAACAGATAGATGGATAAAAATAAACTTTCTATAATGCAGTAATGTGCTTTCCTTACTAATTTGGACATAAATAATTTACATAAATATGTAGGTCTTGCTTTTTAGGTTCTTTCCTTTTTTGTTTTCTTCTCTCTCTCTCTCTCTCTCTCTTTTTTTTTTTTGAGACGGGCTCTCGCTCTGTCATCCAGGCTGGAGTACAGTGGCGTGATCATAGTTCACTGCAGCCTCAAATTCCTAAGCTCAAGTGATTCTCCCACCTCAGCCTCTGAAGAAGCTAATTTAAAAAATTTGTGTGTGAAGATGAGGTCTCGCTATGTTACTCAGGCTGGTCTCAAACTCTTGGCCTCAAGCAATTCTCTCGCTTTGGCCTAAGAAAGAGCTGTGACTAAGAGCTGTGACTACAAGCGTGTACCACCACACCTGGCAGGTTGTTTGTGTGTTAAATGTAGCAATCTTGCAGTATCAAGGAGCCATAATTCAAAGCATACAATTGTACTATACGTGAAAGAAATTGACCAAATCAGCATACATATTAACACATGCCTTGAAGATTTCTCTTTGACCAAATTATTCACATGAGCTTGCTTTCTTGTAATTTTCCTAATTCTATGAGTTTACATGCAGCAAAGATTTCTGGGTTCCCTTAAGTTGCACTTATTCTGACACCTTTGAAGCAAGTCCATCCCATGATAAACCCAGTGAGAGTTGATGACCCAGAAGGGGCCAGCCTTATGTCACTGCACACCTCAGGTTTCACAGACACACAATAGCATGGCTTACCTTTATTCCCAGGGCTTCTCCAGAAATGACAGCAATTGTCACACCATCCTTACTGGGTTTAGGGATTTCTTCACTTTTCAGTTCCTGGTACTGAGGTTCCACCATCTTCTCTGAGCTTCTCAAATTAACCCACAGTTGCAGGCCATGGGCTGGCTCCTCAGAGCAAGGCATCTCAGCGTGCAGAATGCCCCGGCCTGCGGTCATCCACTGCAAACACCAAACCAACAAGAAGAAAATAATAAGTCTTCAGGTGGAACAATTACAACACCATCACTAAGTGAGGCATCTTACAGGTGCTGCTGTCAGAGTCCTTGGCATCAAGAGGAATAACAAACATCAGGACAATTGTTGGAGCCCATTCCAGCTTTTCAAATGATTCCTCATTTGAAATCAGTGTAACAGAACTGGAATTCCTACAAATGAAAGAATCCTCTCTTTGATATCCCTGAGTCTTAGACTGAGCTCTAAGATGGATAGTTGCAGGCAGATAGTATACTGGGCTGTGTTCTCAGGAGAGACAACTTAAGAAGTGAAACAAAGCAAGATTGGGTGGGAGGAGAAGCCAACTAGCAATACAGTTCGAACAGAGGCCTTAGCCAATCCAACAGGGAGCTCTGGAGTTGAGATTAACCTTCTGAATTGTCCCAACTTGAGGCAAGGTGGTCAAATTTTTATATCCCCACATCAGCAAACCATTCACTGTGGGTCACACCCAAGTACAAAGCACAACTTTGAAAGAGACACTTCCCTGATGCAGAGGGCAGTTTCCAGGGGGACATGGAGCTGTAAGCCACCAGTGGCCAATGTTCCTGGCAGCTAGAGTATATGTGTGTGGGCTTAAATACACATTAGAGACCCTCAGTATCCACTACTCCACTGCTTGCTCAATTCCAGTGATGAAGCCCTCACTAGTTGGAAAAACAATTACGGCCTCCACTGTTATGCAGATTCTTCAAGTGTATGTTTATTTCTTTATCAAGAACATATTAAGGGCCAACCTCAGATATTAATCTTGGAATCTGGGAATAAAGAGTTGGAACATGACAAATGCATTTCCTGCCCATCTCAGTGTGGGTTCTACTATAGAAGATTCTGAGACAAAGACTTACGTGCAGGTAGTTTGTCTGGAAAGTGATGCAGAAAACACATTATCTTAAGTAGCAACACCTAACCCTGCAGATGAGTTAGAAGATTACTAGTAAATAGTCTCAAATGCAGCAGGGAGGTCTAGAAAGATGAGAACTGGACTGGGCTCGGTGGCTGAGCCTGTAATCCCAGCACTTTGGGAGGCTGAGGCGAGTGGACTGCCTGAGCCCGCAGGTTCGAGACCCACCCAGGCAACTTGGCGAGACCTCGTCTCTACAATAAATCAAAAATTAGCTGGGTGTGGTAGTGTGAGCCTGTAATTCCGGCTACTTGGAAGGCTGAGGTGGAAGGATTGCTGGAGCCCAGCAGGTCGAGGCTGCAGTGGCTGGGATCGTGCCACTGCACTCCAGGAGACAGAGTGAGACGCCAACTCAAAAAAAAAAAAAAGAAAAGAAAGAAAGGTAAGAACTGAAGCGGCAATTGAATTAGCTAAATGACACATCAAAAGTGATCATTACCTGAACAACTTCAGTAAAAGTTTGGAAGGGCAGTGCTTGGAGGCTAACCTTGATTTCAGTGGGTGAAAACAATATGGAAGTTAAAGAAGCTGAGACAGTCACTCTTAATTACTCTTTTGAGAAATGTAAGAAAAAGACTAGGTGGGCGCTAAATTGTGATTGAGGGGTCTGGGAAAATGTGAGGGGAATACAAGAGACCTGTGCAAGTTTCCAGATTGAGAATCCATAGAAAGAGAAGTCAAGGATATCATAGAGAGAGAGTAGAAAGAGTGAATGTACTAGAAGTGGACAAGAACAAGCATGGATACCCAAAGACTACTAAACCACCAATAACTTCATGTCTTTGGCCATACCTGCAAGTCTCCTGGGTTCATTTTACCAACATGTCCACAGAAGTCTTCATGGGCCATGCTGCCGCCTTCCAGGAGGTAAGATACCTAAAAATAAACACACAAAAAAGTAGGCCCTTTGCCCATTTTTAAATCACGTTGTTTGTCTTTTGTATTGACTTATATGAGTCCCCTATATATTTTGGATACTATCTCCTTTTTGAATAATATGGTTTGCAAATATTTTTCCTGTTTTATGGGTTGCTGTTTCAGTATTCTCACCAGAAAAAAATGTAACTATGTGGGGTGATAGATCTGTTCATTAGCTTGATTGTGGTAATCATTCCACAGTGTATACATACATCAAATCATCACGTTGTGCACCTTGAATATATACAATTTTTGTCGATTATAAAGCTAGAAAAAATAGGTATTGGGTAGCCGTGAAGGGTTGTTTACTTTTTCCAGGAACATTTGTTGAGGAAGGGATCAGAAACAACTAAGACAGGATAGCAAACCAAGAAAATGAATCTCAGTGACAGGGCCACATAAGCCCATACAATATCACTGAGAGAATTTCAAATAGGTGCTCCTTTCCCTTAGTAGATCAGCTCTGAGCATGCCAGAGTTCACAGTCCAGTGAAAGGAGCCCCCATACATCCATTTAGCCCAGTAGACAATGGCTCTTCCATGGTGGGTCCTGGAGCCCAGGGTGAAAGAGAAGCAGCTCCTGTTGAAACAACAGGGTCAGCTGGGCACGGTGACTCACGCCTGTAATCCCAGTACTTTGGGAGGCAGAGGTAAGAGGATTGCCTGAGCTCACAAATTCGAGCCCAGCCTGGGCAACTTGGCAAGACCTCATCTCTACAATAAATAAAAAAAATTAGCCGGGCATGGTGGCATGTGCCTGTAGTTCCAGCCACTTGGAAACCCGAGGCAGAAAGATCACCTGAGCCCAGTAGGTCGAGGCTGCAATGACTGTTAAGTGTGCCACTGCACTCCAGCCTGAGTGACAAAGTGAGACTCCAACTAAAAAAAAAAACAAAAAGGAAACAACAGGATCCCTGTTACCAAGGCCTTGTTCACACAAATTGTGGGAGATGACATATCTCAGGTCTCCATATCTTTCCCAAAAAGCGAATTCAGGAAATCCAAAGGAAACATATTTCTGACAGCAGGCACACAAACTCACTAGGTGCTCAATAAATGTTTGTTTGTGAAATATGTCAAATGAATTCATATACATTAAAGTCAACTTTTCCAGGGGCATGTCCATACTAAACCTAAAAGTGGAAAGAAATTCTGTGCCGTCCAAAAGACTAGCTGCTGGCCACATGTGGCTGTTTAAATTCATTAAAATTAAGTAAAATTAAAATTGCAGCCTCAGTTGTATCTGCCACATTTTGAGTGCTCAAATAACCCCATGTGACTAATGGCTATTATACCAGATAGTACAGATTATAGGACATTTCCATCATTATAGAAAAGTCTATTGAACAGAATGGATCTAGATAAAATGTATTAGAAAGTCAGTAGCCAGTTATGAAAGGCATTTTGTGTGGACAGAAAGGCCTTCCCAGGACATTCTGCAATCACAGTACCTCTTGATAGAACAAAATGTGCGACAACTCCAAAAAGCAGAAAAAATTTGAGCCCCTTCTGTTTATTTATTCTACTAAAGAATAAAAAAATCAAGCAACTCTAAAATTCTCAGTTTTAAAGCAATTATGATAAAGATTTTTTAAATATAAAGTACTTACAAGTATTTTAAATTACCTCAGGGACATGGTATCATCTTTATTTGAATTATACAATTTAGTATTTAAAGCTTAAAATGTTGTACATGTGTTAAGAGCGAGCCCTTTTTGTATAATCTATTTGGATTCAACAATCCATTGTGCTCATTTTGTACACATCTGCGAAATCCACCTGTAACTCCCACAAGAAATACCAATCAGCCTAAACAGGTGTGAAAGGTGTGAGCAAAACTATGTTTATCTGCAAAATGCATGTGTCTCCCCACCTTGGGCTTAAGGGTGATGAGTTCTAACATTTACATTATTGGATGAATTTTTTGTTCCTTACCTATCCCAATTTTTAAAAAATATAATGTCTTTATCTTTTTTGGCCTTGGAAATTTCACTTCAATATTGTATTAACCATTGTTAAATGAGTGAACCAGAAAATCCAGTCTATGACTAAAATCCCCAAATCTCCTGTAATTATGTAGATCTAATTTTCTCTCAAAAATACTCAGTCAAATATAACAATTTAAATCAGTATTTTAAAAGAATAAATGATGCTTTTTAACAACAAATTCCTAAAACCACAAAAAGAAGCAGAATGACAATACAATAATATTTAAAGAAGAAAGAAAAAACATGCCCAAGAAGTAAGAGAAAAGAAAATATTTTGAAGTTCTTAGCATATATATCAGATACTGCTGTTTTATGCAAAAAAGGATTTCCTCCTCCATTCAAGAACTTCTCAAATATTTGAAGCCACATTGTTGTTTTTTGTTTGTCTGAGTTGGAGTCTCATTCTTGTTACCCAGGCTGGAGTGCAGTGGCACCCTCACGGCCACCGCAGCCTCAGGCGATCCTTCAGCCTCAGCCTTCCAAGTAGCTGGAACTACAGACACACGCCACCATGCCCAGCTACAGAATGTTTTTGCAGTCTATGTTTTTGCTTTATCCTGAGATATAAAAAGTAGATCTAACTAGTCTTTTTTTTAAAATATGAAAATACAAAAAGTTGTTTTATAAGTCATGAGTGGCAACAGTTATTTTTCGTATACATTTGTGTATTTGGGAAATAATCATTAAGATTATCAATTCACAGATATAAAACCTACGATACAATAATTTTAAAATAATAAATTAAGAAAGTAAGGTCACCAACAACATTCATTTACTAGTTCATTGAACAAATACTCATTGAGGCCCTATAATATCTTAAGTATCATGTTAGGAGATAAAAACAAAAAAGTGGAGAAGATAGATACAGTAATTATTATCGCAAAGCTTATATTTTCATGAGGAAGATAGATGGAAAATGAGATTGGTGGATTTGAAAGAAAAAAAACTAAGTTTGCAGAGCCAAGCTCCCTACTCTCTCGTTCCTCTTGGGATTCAGCCTGCCCATAGAAAGCAAGTGTCCACATTTGCTCTTTGCCTCTGTGAGAACAACTAGCTCCCATAGCGGTGGACTGCAGGGGTCCAGCACATCTAAGTCTGCCTAATTTTCAGGTGCAGTATTCTGAAGCCCACCAGCCAGATCTAAACCACCTCCTCCAATACCAGCTTTATTAGAAATAAAGGCATATTTGTGTTTGCCATCTTTCTTACTCTTTTATCTTCTCTACTGGTTGAGGACTAGGTGAATTGGGAGAACAGATCACTATTCATTATGCCTCCTAATACCCAAACTAGGGGCAATAAAAGATCTGCAACTGTAAGGTTGAAGTTTTATATTGTTGCCTTATAATGACTCTTTCTCTTCTTGAACTAACTTTATCACATGCCAGTTCTTAAAACCAAATATTTATAGAGCACTTATTGCAGTGCAAATCAGGGTTCTCATGAGGATTCTCCATGTTTTATCCTGCAGAACAATGTCGCTTAGACACACTGTGTACCAAATGGCCTAAGCACTAGGACCTTTACCCCGGCAGATGACAAACAAGTGGCTACAAAAATTAGAAGTTGTAGGATTGAAGTCTAGAAACCCCATCTAGGAACTTGCTATGGTAATGGCAACACTGCAAAATTGGCACAGGCATAGAAGAGACCCATTTGTATGGGAAATTAATATATAATAACCACAATTTCAAATCAGTAGGGCAAGGATGTATTTTCCAATAAACGATATTGGAACAAATGACTGACTATATGAGAAAAGAAAGTAAGGTTCCACTACATACAAATAAGTGCAAATAATATACCTCTAGGATTTAAATCCAAGGAGCCAAAAATATATAAAACGTCTACACAAATCTATTTCCTGCAATATTTATTATAATAGAAGAAGATGAACAAGCTGGATGATGGTTTAATTAGGAGCACAACTAAATTATGGTATAGCCATATAAGAAAATACTATGCAACTGTTAAAAAGAGATATAGATCTTTATTTATTGACACAGAAAAACAAAATATTATTTAACTGGAAAAACAAGGTACAGAGTAGCAATTCTATTTAAGAGGATTAAATGAAACAATGCATTTAAATGGGCTCATTTAAATAAAATTATATCCGGTCTTGTTGGTATGCAAGGCGTTACCTGGATGAATATACAACCAGTGGTCAGTTCCAGATAGTAGAATTACAGGTATGTTTTATTATCTTTTTTCCCACTTTCAGATAGTCTGAATTTTCAACAATGACTAGTTTACTTTTTCACAGTGGAAATAACTTTTACCTTGGAAAAAAATAAAGATGCTGCTGCCAATCAGTGGATGAAAGTAAGTGGTATGCTTTATTCTACAGGACACTGGTGAATATATCTGTTCCCTGCTTAGGTGAACTGGAGCCGGATAGGAAGGCAGTGAGACATGAGGAGAAATACTAAGAATCACTCCATATCATGTGTGAGGGCAATGTAGTTCCGACTTTAACATGTGTTACTGGGTGGGAAGACCTGCAATTTTTATGGTCGTCGTGTCAAGTAAGAATAAAGCACTTAGAATCCAAAACAAGCTTTAAAATTTAAGGAGACAAAGAAAAACTTCCAAATTTCAAACAACCAGCCAAACTATAAAATGTCATATCTAGAATTGCTTTTCTTTTCCTGCTACACATACACTTTGAATTGTAATAATTCCATAAGAAAGGCAATTTCCACGCTGTTTGGGCTGAAACTCCCCTCTGGGTTCTCAAAGGAGTCCCTTTCAAATCATATTCTTTTTCATCCTCAAATATTTTTCAATTATCCAAGCCTAAAGGCTTTTGAGTTGCTAACCATCTAAAAATATGTCAAGCAACTTCAAAAAGCAAATAGTGGTGAGCATGTTCATTTAAAGACAAAAATGGAAGTGGACACAAAGAGGCTTTTTTAAGTTTTATTTTAGGGAGCAATTTTAACACTTTTTAAAGATTGAGAAGCCAGT